GTATGAAACTCATTTGGCTTCAAGATGAATATTGTTGATGATTGTATGTATTACAAGTTTAAAGGGAGACAAGTTTAGTCTCAATCAGTGCCCAAAGGGAATTTGGAAATTGAGGAAATGCAAAAGATTCCCTATGCATTAGTTGTAGGGAGTTTGATCTATGCCCAAGTATGTACGCATCCAGACATAGCATATATAGTTGGGGTTCTAGGCAGATATTTAAGCAATCCAGGAATATACCATTGGAAAGCAGCAAAAAGGGTCATAAGATATTTAAAGAGAACAAAAGATTATATGCTCACATATAGGAGGTCGACCAGATTGGAGATCACCGGGTTTTCTCGACTCGATTTTGTAGGATGTCAAGAATTTGTAGCATGCTATGAGGCATTAAATCATGGAATATGGTTGAGAAATTTTGTCACAGGGCTGCAAATTGTGAAAGGCATTGAAAGACCACTTAAGTTATATTGTGATAATAAATCAGCTGTATTGTTAAGGAAAGAGTACAAAGTGGACAGATTTTCATAGAACACTTAAGGACAAACTCCATGATAGCATATCCTCTAACTAAAGGACTTCCGCCCAAGGTCTTTCATGAGCATTTTGCTCACATGAGTGTTTTACAGTTTGAGGAATTTGTGGTTTAGTGGGAGTTAGTCACTTTCATACATTTTATGTTCTATGTTTAATTTCATATATGTATACATTGTTTTTTTTTTGGACATATTTGGTTATCTATAGATATGCGGTTTTTTCGTTCATTCATTACACTTTGTACATTAAGGATATTATATCGATCTCGATAAGTTAAAATTTGGACCAGTTGAAAATAGACGTGTACAGATCACCTTCACGTAATTTTTCATGCTACACATTTCATGATGAATCCATGTCATTTGGTTATGTTAGGATGAGTAATCATTGTTGGTTTTAATTGCGATGATGCAATGAAAAGCTTGTTTGGTTCTATATCCTGATATGATTAATGGACAGGACTTTTGGAGTATGCTAAAGGAATATAATGACAATTTTGAGCTCATAAAGTATAACACATTTGTAAGGTGACATATATATTTGTGACCAGTGGGAGATTGTTGGCAAAATTTGGGTCATGTATATATATGATACATAATTTAAATGTGTTAGGGTCATTATTTATTAAGTCAAATAATAAAGTGATCTGACTAAATTAAAGTTTTGGCTAAAAGCATATGTCATGAAAATAAAATTGTGTAGAGACCATTGAGAAATTTCTAATTTGATGAGGGGTCAAATTGGAAATACTAAAACTTAAGTAATTAACCTAATTCTGGTTATCTAAAGGGTCATGGTCCCCTTCTGGGAGCACATAGACAGAATGTAAGTTTCATTCCTGTTCCTTTCTTTCTATCCCCATCAAGAGAGAAAATCAAGAAGGAAATACAGGTGCTCTTCAGGTGGAAGACCATAAGATCAATATAGTGTTCTACAAAGACATCATCGTTATGGCTAATTCAGGTACGCTTTCGCATTCAGTTTACAACATGTTTATCAGTATGGGATTATGTTTATGTTTGATTGTTAGAATCAAAATCAGGATTATTATTATTATTATTATTAATTTTCCAACAATAACTTGTCGCTTGAGCGAAATATGCATAACTTATGTCAAACAAGTTTCCAAGTACCAAATAGTATCATTTGAAACTTTATTATACAATTTCTCTCTCAAACATGTCACACTTAGTTCATATATAGTTATCTTACCGTAATATTTCACACATAATTATGCTAAAACAATTAATTTTATCACAACTTATGATATAATATCAATAATCAAATTCCGCAAATCAAACAATATGACTGAGTCATCTTTACAATCCACGTAATCTATCATAGGATGGTAAAAACTTTATTACTAGTTTTTCTTATCTTTTAATTTCTCCTATCAATAGAAAAATCCTACCAATGAAACATTCCGATGTACTTGATAAAAAAATGCGAGAGAATGAATGAAAAATCTAAAAAAGAAAAAAATTTAGAATTTATGAGTTTGTAAGAATAAAATTTCAATTAAACTTTCTATTTATAACATTTAATTTAAATAGTAAAATTTTACTCAAAATGACTTTTATTCTCAACTGTTTTAACTTTGTGGTTACACTTTCAAATTTGGAGTTCTACCTGGAAATCACAGGTCGATTTTTCAATATATGAATTTATGAAATCAAATAATTGATCACATGTTTAATAAATGTGATTACCATATTTTATATATATATATATATATATATATATATATATATATATTAATAATAATAATAATAATAAAGGATTAAATTGTCTAACTATTTTCACAAATTTGTTTTATTTTACCTTCTTAAATTTATAATTATATTTTGAAAAAAATTAACCATTTTTAAAAACTATACATTTTAATTGTTTTTAAAAATTATAATTATTTTTGCATATTTTTTTAAACATAGACACAGAAATGCATAATGTTAATTATTTAAAACTAAATATTTTTTTTATTCCTAATTTTTTTCCCTCAAATACAAAATGGAATATTACTTATTATTTTTGGAATTTTATGCCTTTTATTTCTTTGAGGATTTAAGTAGCTGTAAAAATATGCCTCACCCCAAATGGCATTATTTCATTTTCATGTTGTGTTATTCTGCACACCAACCTCTACCTTTCAAGAATATTGTCATTATTCTGACAATCATTGATTGATTCTGTCTTTTCTTGCAGCATCTTCTGTGATTTGCTTCAATAAATATTATTTCAAAGAGATCCACAATTATTAATAACATTTATTTTTATATTTATACACTATTTCATTTCTCTTCTATCTTATTTTGCACTTTAGTTTCATTTCTTTTTCTTATTATACATTTCATTACCCGTCAAATTTTTCACTCTCTACATTTTATCATATCTGATGAAGTGTTTGCACTTTATATGACTGCATAACAATTTTTCATAATCAAATATGTTAATTCCTTTACATATTTAAAGTATATAATGAAATATGAAAATGTAATTTAGTTAAGATTTTATTAAGAAAAATAAAAAATAGTGCAATACATATATAGTAGTTTATTTTAATGTTCGTCGTTGTAAATCCAAATCAATTGAAAATTTAACATAAAAAAAAGTTAAATAAAGAAAGTAAACAAAAAAATCCATCAAAACAAATTAAAAAAATGTTATAGTCAAATTTGTATTAATCTTCAATATCTAAATAATTATATCGTGATTTATAAACATTTTATCTTATATATTAATATAATATTATTATTCTGATTGATTGAACTTATTTTATTATTATTTTTTTAACTTTTTTTAAGATTGAGAGATTTTATAGTTATTATTTTAATTAATTCGATAATTAATCTCATTCTATTAATTTTTTCCAGCATCTAATATGAGAATATGTTTAGATTAATGAGTAAATTCAGGAGAGTGAAGAAGAAGATAAGAAATGAAGTGAAAGATAATGAAAAATGAAATTATTTAAATTAAAAGAAAAAGAAGGAAAATGAAAAGAAATAAATAAAAGTTAGAATTTTTTATTATTTAATATTATTTTTTAATTATTTATTATAGTTATATTTTTTCTTTTAAATTTTCACATAATCAATTATCTCGTTTTTAGTTAATCGATTGTATATTATATATTTCACTTTTAGTGGATTTTTTTCGCACAAATGAGAAAATGAATTTTTTGGAGACTCAAATTTTTTGTATTAAAAAGTGGGTTGGGTATCAAATAACTTAAATTTTATGTAAAATTATGTCCATTTGTTAGAAAAATTAAAATGTGAGTTAGAAGAATTCAAGAGTTAGAAGTTTAATATTGAATAATAAAAAAAAAAAAAAAGTTGAGTGAGTGGTTTATTAAAAAAAAATTGTTGACTAGAAATCCGTATTCTATTACAATGAAAGGCAATCTAAATAAAAATCATTAATAAAAATAAAAAATTGAACATCATAAAATACTCATGAGGTTTTGAGTTAAAGTCCTGTAAAAAGATCTTAAATAATCACAAAATGCGATTATGACTAAGAGAATGCTCTATTCGTAAAGACTCTACCCATCACCAGAGTCTCTTTCAAGAATTGTTTTTATCAAGAACATATAGTATACTAAGTACTTATTTTAGAAGGAAATCATGTGAAAACCATCAAACATTACAACCGACAATATCCAAAACACTGATAAGCATATTGTGTGAATTAATTTAAGATAAAAATCAAGATCAATACTTCATATGTAACAATACCTTAATGACAAGGTTTGTCGCAACAATGATTTCATAAATTCTATTGTGTAACATTTCACTGTTGAAAAAAGTGATTTTATGCCCCAATTGACTATAATCAAACCTATTTAGCAAAACAAAACTCTCTTAAGCCAAATCCTTTTGTGCAAAACACTCGAGTGAGAATATTGCGTAGATTGGAGGGTTTAAGTTTTAGCACAAGTGGCTGCGTTATTACTATACACGTTTTGGCAGCATAGAAGGAAGAAATGTTCACCCATCATGACACAAAAGGAAAACGAAAAATAAATGAAAAGAATATGTATATACATGTATAAGTAAGAAACAATAATCAAGCAAGCTGAGCCACAGGACAAGACACTATGTCTTTTCCTCTCTCTTTCTTTTTTTAAGGTTCTCTCTCATGGTTCCCTGCCTCAACTGAAAACGACTGCAAGCAACCTGTGGTCTCCTTCTGTATATATCCCCTTTTCTAGTTTTTATATAAACCCAATAAACTTTTTTATATTAATAACACGACATTGATACACCGACTCGAGCATCAAACGAACCCACTTCTCCTCTTTTCCCTATATAAACTCTCTTTCTCTTTCTCTATCTTTTGCTTCCTTGCTTTTACTTCACTTATTATCATCTTTACACCCTTCTCTCTCTTCCAACATTTCTCACTTTCTCTCACTCACTCATCTGTCATCAACCATGGTGGACCTGCAAACCGTTTGCTGCATGTGTGGTGACGTTGGTTTCCCTGACAAGCTTTTTCGCTGCAACAAATGTCGCCACCGATTCCAACACTCGTATGCTCCCATTTCTTCACCTCACCTCCTCAATCATCATCACACACCATACATGCATCTTTCTTTATCATATCATAGAATAATCTCTTTAATTTGACAGTTACATATCTTTCTTTGATTCTCATCATAGCATATCATATCATATCCCATATGTATACATACACGCACATACTCATCAAACATACACATGCCCATTAGTTCTTAGCTTTCTATATTATCACAGAATACATCTATCATGCACACAGCATATTTTCTTGTCAAGCTTTTTAACGAGGTTATGCTGTAACTTAATTAATCATTCAGGTATTGTAGCAACTACTACGGGGAATTAGTTGAAATAGAACTATGTGATTGGTGTCAAAGTGAGGGGAGAAGTTTCTCGAGACATAGTGTTGGTATTGGGTCGAATTCGAAGAAACCGGTGGCCGGAGCGACGACTCGATCGGAATATTCCGGAGAGAAGATCAAGCACCATGAAGAGAGTGGTTTGAACTCGGAGAAGGGGAAGAGTCCCACTCCTTCACCAAGACCCTCCACACGAAGGTACAAGCTTCTGAAGGATGTTATGTGTTGAAAAAAGAAACAAACAAACAAACGCATCCTTCTTAGTGTCAAAAGGGTTAATTTAGTTTTGTAAGTTTATAAAAGTTGTAGCTTTGTAAAGACTTTACTTATGCGTGTTCTACTTGTTTTGTTATCATCTTGAGTGGCCCTTTCCATAAACCTTGTGAATAGAAGAAGAACCATGAAGCTTCAAGTTCATTGTATTAGTCACTTAATCTATCTATTTATATATGATATAAGTTTCCACCTATTTTCTAGCGAGCTCCTAGGTCCATTCAACTAAACTCTCCATAGATGAAAAAAAAAAAAAAACACAAATTCAAATATTTTTCATGCATGCGCACTCTCCTCTTATTAAATGTTTTCTCGTGCAATGCATGGTACATGAAGTAGTAGGTTTAGTGCATGACGTTTTATGGAATCCAAGTATGAGACGGAAAGGTTTCGATAAGTTGACACATATATTAAATATTCTGGACTCAAATATAAAAGAAAAAAAGTGTTATGTTTAATAAATTTAAACAAATTTCAATATCCTACGAAAATACTCTTAGTTACTAATGTGAATGTGGTTATAGTTGGTTTAATTTTATTTGAAAAAAAAGTGATTTTAATTGGATAAGGGATAGATAGATAGATGGAGATGAAAGAGAGTTTGACTAGTGTGGTGGCAGGGTTGAAGCTCTCATTTGCCATTAGTTGAGTCTAAATTGAATGCACTGGTTTTCCTTTTGAGAGAAGAATTCAGAGTACCTGAAGCCTGCTAACTTTTGCAGATTCATTGAAGGCCTTTAATTGCTAGGCCCTCTCTATTATTGTCCATGTCAAAAGAAAATCAAGGGTCTCCATTTCAAAGTGCAGAATTTGTACCTTCAAATTTTTATTTTCATTTTTCTTTGAGATATACTATAAATGTCACTTTTCAACCTCAACAACAACAACAACTTAAATGGTAGCCATATACGAGGCAAGAATTTTTTTTGGATTTTGTTTACTAATTTTAATGGAAAAGGAAGAAAAAACGTGTCGTGATCCATCAAGTGTTGCTGTGTATTGCTATTGTGGTGGTTGTTTTTGGACCATACATTAACCTTTCCTTACAAGTTTGGACAGTTTGTGAAATAATATCTCAGAAGTACACACAATTTGACAAGGCATTTGCATCCACTGTGCTTGTTTTGACCATTTATTAGAAACCAACAAATTAACATCATCATAAACTCATTAATTAAACTCCCATTAACCAAATCATGTTTTCTTTGTTCATCTTCTCACTTTCACCAACTATGAATTACTACTACTATTCAATTATACATTCATATAAGTAGACAAATATCTGACTGGGCTTCTGAAATGACATTAAAGATATCGATTTACTTTATAATTTCTATGTCATCACACCGCAGACGTAAATATTATATTATTAATTAATAATAATATAATTAAAAAAGGAAAGATAATGACATAAATATGTCCTTTTTGGAATAAGGAATAGATTTGAAGGAATAAAACATTAAAAGAAATGAAATTATTTGAATAAAGAACAAAATTTTTAAAAATAAAATTATTTTACTAATTATTTTTTTTAAATTATAACATAATCAATTATTTATAAAAATATATAATATATTTTTATATATAATAATTAAGTTAAAAGATATAATTGATTATTTTATCAAATATTTTTTTTTCATGTTTCATCTTAATAAAGAAGGAAATAAATTTTAATAACAAAAAAAATTAATATATCCTTAAATAGTATACGATCTTTAAGATTAAATTACACAAATATACATTAATTTTTATTATTTTTAATAAATTTATTATTTTTTTATTAATATCCTTTTCATTTGATATTTTCTCTAAACCAAAATACTCATTGTCTTTTTTCTTTGTAATAAATATAATTAAAAGACATCATCTGATAATTTTAAATTTATATATAATATACACCACTTTTAGGAAATAAATATCTTATGGATATTATGTTATACTCTATGATTTAGAAAAGTAATTTGTAAACTCTTGATATATTAATTAAAATTCTGTAAAACAAGTTAAGATTTGTCGACCACAAACATTTCAAAATAATATATAATATTGTATTTTTATTGTCCGTGATTTTTTTTTATTATTGAACGAGTTTGATACAAGTCATCAAATAATGAGTTTGACAAGCATTATATTGATATTTTTCATCAACTAATTTTAAAAAATATATAAACCTACGGACACCTACATTGATAGTGATGCATGATTATTAAAATATTCTTTATTATTAAACTATAGTTTTTACTTACATAGAAATAAAAATAGCATATATATTTTTTATTATAAATTGATGAAAAAGTAAAACAAATATTAGGGTGGAATTTTATAGGTGAGAACAATATCAGGATAATCGGAACTCATGGCGTTAGAAGAGATTTTCAAATACTATTCACCTAAAAAAGAAAATCTTGGATTGTTGTAAAATGATTTTTAATTTACTTTGTTAACTAATCCCATTCTTAATCAAGTTTTTCTAGCACATCCAACCTTATGTGATAAGCTCCATTATTAGTAAAACAAAAATTGTTTATATCCTTAATTTTTTATTTATTTAGAGAGATAGATGTTAAAGAGAAAATACAAGTAAAGAAAATAAATGTTGTTGTTTTTTTAATATCTCCAGCATAATCTAATTTTCTATGAACATATTAAAAGTTATTTATATCATTACTAACAGAGTATTTGAACCAATCAATTAGAAAAATATGTGGGGCAAGACAAATAAACACATATTACTAAATTTGTGTTGGATATTTTTTTAAGATATTTTAAATAGAGAGATCAAAATTATGCATCAATAATTAAAGGAGGTTAAATTATAAATGACCAAAATAATTAGTTAAAAAATGTCTTTTTGGTATTATGCATTGTTTTTGTCAAAATCACGGTTAGAATTGAAAATGGAAAAATAATAGTTACTGTAGAGTTGAGGAGAAACATGACAAGCTTCATTGAATGACTATATATCTTAATTTAGATATGGAATTTGGACACACATCATTGAATGACTATATATCTTAAAGTCACCTTATGTATAGTCAAACTCCCACTTGTCTTTTTTTTTTTGGTCAACTCTCTCAAAAGAACATTTAAGTTATTGAAAATATACCAACACAACACCTCTTGCTATAAGGTGTGTGGCCTTTTGGTTAGAATATATATATATATATATAAAAAAAAAGATTGAAAGGAAAGTTTAAGATAGTTTATCAACATCAACTACAAATTTATATTACTAATGCATGATTACTATATTATATACATAAAATTCGATGAAATCAAAAAATATATATAACCAATTTAATAATAAAATAAAAAATTTAACTTTTTATTGAATTTTTTTTAAAATCAATCATTTCATTTTTTATTTTATTCTTAAAAACTTATTTAAATAGAAATATAATATATATATATATATATATTAAAATTAAATATAAGATGATATTTAATATTAATAAATTAAATAATTTTTTATAATTTAATACATGTACTATTATTTTTAAATTAAATATAAAAATAAATTAAACTCATAAATATCACAATTAGTTATATATTATTTATTTATAATATATTATTTTATTATAATATTTTAATAATTTTAATAAAAAAATTATAAAAATTATTTAATTCAAATTATAAAACATTAGTCTAATTTAATTTAAAATAAAAACCAAATCAAATTTAAATATATTTAATTTTATAAAATTTTCAAATATAAAATCGAACAAAATTGAACTTAACAACCTTCCTTTCCACGGCAGATCTCAGCAGGAAGTGAATTATCCGACATTAAAAGCAGATTAAATGACCTGCAACTACATATATTTAATCGAGTTGTCTTAGGTAACTACCTACTTCCTAGGAAAGCAGACCATATTTTAATGTCAGTGGTACGCTGACACTGGTGACGGCTTTCTTGAGTGTATCGGGAGAAGTAATACCATTAACACCGATATAACTCTTCCTGTGTACCACCATTTTTTGCCTAGAACTGTTAAATTATGATTATGATGGACACAGTTATTTTATTACATGCTCGTGCTTTGACCACACAATCGGACCTACCCTCTACATATCCAAAACAGTAATCGAAGCATAGCAGTCTAAGTTATCTACCCACTAAGATGCTTTCATCTTTTCCTACGGATGTAGGCTGTGAAATTTGTAAAGATGATAATTGAGAAATTTTATATTTTTCTTTAAATTAACAATTTTTGTTGAAACGTGTGACAATAGTCCACATTTCATGATAAGAGCTAAGACATTTTAATTTGTTAAGAAAAACACTCTTTCTTAAATTTGAATAGTTTTGTATATATAGATGTATTTATTTGAAAACAATTATAATCTCACTCTTATTTTATATTAGTTTTTAATAATTTAAAACAATATCTTATTTTAATTATTAAATAAAAATAATAATATTAAAATAAAAATAATTTTAATTCTTAAATAAAAGGTTTTCTTTTATATAATGTATAAAAATTATTTTCAATTTTAACTTTTGAGCTGTACAACATGACATCTTGCTTTTGTCTGTTGACCGGGTTTGTTTCTATTTCCTGAGTTTGAGATATTTTAAATATTTTCCATTTTCTGAAGTTATATTTTTAACATTTTTCACATGTACTTTTTGTTGTTGCAATGTCTTTGTTCTATTTATTTTTAACTAGATATGTTCTTATTTAAATATATGCTTTATTATTAAGTTAAAGTTTGTATGTAAATTGTGAGTTTAATTTTTTAAAATAAAAACATATAACTCTTAACATGGTAATATAATTTTATTTTCAATACTATTTGTATAGGTGATATTAATATTGTTTGTAAGTAAATAAAAAGTTATATATTTATATTATAGAGTGTATTTGAATTGTTATTTTCAATAATTTTTAAATAAAAATTTAACAAATTTCAAGAGATGCATTATACATTAAAAAACACGAATTTACCTGGTTC